TGTTTGCTCAAAAGTTATCACATATCTTATGAATGCAAAACAATACGAATAAATTACGGGAAAATCATAGCAAATCGTAATAATCCATTGGACCATAAGAAGGAAGCGAAAAGCTGTACTCAGGATTAGGGGGAGAGGTATTAAAAGCCTTTATTGATAATATTGGTTTGGTCTGCCTCTCCATGAAGAGGTTCAGAGCCTTACAATGATGTTTTCACTTCCCATAAGAAGGGTGTGTTTTTCTCTTCTCTCTCTCCTCCATAGTGATGAAGAAGCAGCCCCCTTTCTAGGGCTTCCACTCTTAGTATTTATAGCTGTGGGATTCGTGAGCTGGCAATAAATGGCCGTGACCACGTTGGGATCTCGCCTTTATGGTGGCGGATAGGCCATGGCCTTGTCGATCGAGCCGGATGCGGGTTGAACATCATCAATTCTGAGTGGTCGTACCACTAATTAATCATGAATTAGCTTGAAACGGGATTAGCCTCGTCAATTATCGTGGGGTCGGATTCTGACCCATACAAATCTCTTTAATGTTAATCTAGAGAAAAGTTAATTAATATATTCAGATTTTGGCATTGAACACTCCTCTATACAAAACTATAGTATTAAGTGAAAATGGTAAAGAGACGAACCCATTATTCATTGAATCTTGTGACATTTGCCTCGGGATTTCATAATTTAAAAAAAAAACACAAAAGAACTTGCTTTAAGACGTATGGATCAAGTAAATATGACAAAAAAAAAATAGCTAATTTATTAGAAACTAAAATTGTGAAAATACAGAAAATAGAACTAATGAGAATGGAAATATATTGTTTAATTTAATGAAAGAAAAATTTTATCGTATTAATTCAATACCAAATTTAAAAATGTTAACATTGAAATCTTTTATTAATAATCATATAAAAATAAATATGTTATATTTTAATATAGTAATACTTAATATTTTTGGGGCATAAATATTTGGGTGCCTCCTTACCCTAGAGCCGTTCTTGTCTCCATGGAGCATGAAGCTCCTAAACCGGTACTAATTTGTTCGTTTCTCCATTATTATACACCAATCATATTTTCGCCATGTTATTTCTGCAGTTCTATATAGTTTCATTCTTCCTAGTTCAGTGGATAAAATAGTTTATAGTGCTATCTTTTCTTCTTCATTTTTTGCAGGATTGTATATTACAAATAGAGGACATTGGTTGCTGCGATGTCTGTGTCAAAAAAGTGAGGAAAAGAATTCTTCGACTGGAAGGTACTAGTAGCTTTTAGAAAATAATTACAAACTGCATATGGTTTGTGCTTTACAAAGGTCTAAGGACATTAAGGACAGCTTGGCCATGAGTTTTGCCAAAATAAATTTGGAATTTATTTTCAAAACTCATGTTTGGCCACAAATTTTGCCTTGGCAAAATCCCAAACCCTAAATCCCAAAGCCCCCGTTTGGCCATGAGTTTTGCCAAAATAAATTTGGGATTTATTTTCAAAACTCATGTTTGGCCATAAATTTTGCCCACATTTTGGCCAAATGCCAAATCTGAAATCCCAAATCCCAAAATAAGCTATTGAGCTAATTTTGGGCCAAAATCCCAAAACTTGGAAATTATATACATGTTTTTCCAAAATAAAGTTGGAAAATATGTTTTGTAAAACGTATAGTTCCAAACACATTTTTCAATCTTCAAACCAAACTTCACCCAAATCAGATTTTTCAAAATAAATTTGGGATCTATGGCCAAACGCTAGCAAAATCACCCCAATTGCTGATTTTGGGCCAAAATCCCAAAACTTGGGAATTATATACATGTTTTTCCAAAATAAAGTTGGGAAATATGTTTTGAAAACGTATGTCCAAATACATTTTCATCTTCAAACCAAACTTCACCCAAATCAGATTTTTCAAAATAAATTTGGAATCTATGGCGAAACGCTAGCTAAATAGCGTGTGCCGCTATTGCTTGTCCAATATCTAATGAATTTCTGTGTCATTTGTCAAAATGATTGTTAGAACATTCAGAAGACCTTTGGATTATAAGGGTACACCCAGTGGATGAGTACAACAACTCGTTGACCATATTATAGAGAAAAACAACTCTTTGCAGTGCTTTATCATTTCTGCTTTTCGAGTGGATGTTGAAAATAAATTTTGAGTTTTAGAAGGTATCCCAAGGGGTTGTTTTTCTAATTAAAATGTCCGAATCTAAATGCACGAAGAAAAAGCAATAAGTAAAGGAGATTCAACATTTACTCTATATATGTAAAAGTAATTTTAACCATATATATGCAATATAATTTTTCGATGAAAGGGAATCATATGTACCCATTTGCGCCCTCTAAATTTGCCCATAACTGTGATGGTGGAGGTGATTGGTGGTAGTGGCTAACGCTAATGCTTATTGACAGAGGCAGATCCAGGATTTAGAGGTCTCGGGTGCCACATTGCTTTGAAAGCAGATGTGTTGCTATTTACTCGGTTCAGATAGAGTAAACGTATTGTTAGTTTGAGCAACTTTGAACTTCGATTCGGATTATTTGTCTTTTATGTTTATATAGATAAATCGATCAAACGGAAAAAATGTAATAATTATGATAGAAGAGAAGATTTTGAAAAGAAAATGTTATTTTAACTACGTGAAAAAACCAATACTCCTACACTAATTAGAGACATAGTATATATATATATACATAGAGAATGATAGAATCTTACCGTGATGCAGCAAGCCACAACGTTTAATTTAAAATATTGTTGTCAAATGAGCTCAACCGCTCGCCCCCAAGGTGGAACCTCCAATCCTTTGCCATAGGCAACCTTGGCATCTTTTGTTACTACAGGTGGCACTAAAAATATTTGTATTTTTCTTATATAAATATTTATTTATACGTTGAGTTTCGACCGAATTAGGCTTGCGGTTGGCATGCTACCCCCTTGGGCCTTAGTAGATTGGCCCCTAGTTACTCATGGTGGCTAGTTGTGGTGGCGATGAATGGTGGTGTTTGGCAATGGTGATAGCTATGATGGTATATAGAGGTGGTCGGTGTGATAGTGACCGTCAATGGTGGCTAGTGGAGTTGGTGGTTGGTTGAGGCGGTGGTAGTGGTTATGATGGTGGAAGTGATTGGTGGTATCAGTGGGATGTGTGGCTGCTGGTGGTGGTTGTTGGTGATTGGTAGTGGTGGTCGTGACTGATAGTTGTGATTTGTGATTGTGTAGTGATGGTTAGTGGTTGGCAGATATGATATAATGGTGCTGAAAGATTATCTTCGTAAAAATCTTTAGCTAATTAGCTTCTTAAAAATATAAAAATCCTTTTCCAAATTTGAATAATTCAAATCTATTCAAACCTACTAAGTGATTAAATCTTAAAAATAACAAATGTACTAAATGATTTGAGGCTTGAACTAAACATCAAAAAATACAAACAAATGAGGCTTAAAAGACATAAAATGTACATATAGTATTATTTTTATAATGTCGTTGAGTTTTCGTCTTCAATAACACATGTGACCATCTTTTTTTGGACGGAAATTCCACTTTTATTTTCATATGGATGCATATATGTAATTCGCAACTCCAGTTGTGATCGATCATCTTCATTGACTCTTGGAGTTTTTGTTTTATGGACAGGTGTCTATTCAGTTGAGATCGATAGGGAAAGAAGATGGGCAAAAATAGCAGGCAATATAGAGCAAGTCATGGACTACTTTACTCGAAGATCACGAAAACTTGCAAATGTAAAAGTCATATTCTATTGTTCAAAGGAGGCAAAAACTGATCATAAATATCATGGCAAGAATTATCAAAATACTCCAATGGAGAATCAGAGGGAAAGCCATGTCAAAAATCAAGCCGAGAACAACTTGCCCAAGGAAACTCAAAACCCTAACGAATATCATTGTCACCAGAAGAATATTCCTAGTGACAATTGTCCAATGCAGAATAATACCGATAATACTCGACAAAGGAATTACAAAAGAGAAGGTGAAAATTACAATCAAGATTCTTCTACTCATACAACTGGTGATCATTACGCTCCACATGATCATTATGCACCACGTAAAGATTGGGTCCATAGAGTTGAAAATTACGTACCACCGCCACCTAAAGAAGATCAATATCGATCTGTACGTGTTGATGATCGTGAATGCAGGTGTGAATTTCATGCTTGGAAGAGACAAGGAAGTAGTAATAGTAGTGGCAGTGGTCGTTTTGTTTTTGATCATAGAGTACCAAGGGCCGACATGCGTTCCGCCAGTGCGCGGTGGTTCAGGGAGGAGCCGCCTCCTTTTTATGGATACCATGAGCCTTTTATGCCGCTACCTCGGCCGCCGCCGGGACTATTTGCTTATAGATGATTAACGTTGACACAACCTCGAAAAATTGAAGAAACTGCAGCTAGAAACTAACGAATCACGCATAACAATCCCTACTCCACTACAACACGAAGTAAGGAAAACAATTGCATCTATATTGCAAGTTGTGGCAACGCTAGGCATACTGAAATTATGTGTTTGCGTTTTGCTCTCGTTTGGTTGCACATTTTGATAGCCCAAGTATAGTCGAATGTGATGACAAAGAAATTATTCTTTCTTGTAACTCCTCGAGTGAAAATTTTACAGAGTTTAAAGTACTTTTAGAAATTATTGTTTCTTGTTAAAGAGAAATCCCAATATTTCTTTGGCTTGGTTTAAGTGGCAAGTAAATTTAGTTGCTTATTGCTTGGTAAGAGAATCTAGAAATTATGATGGTCGTTTCTAGTGGGAGCATGCTCCTAGTTTTACTGCAAACTTGTAGGTTGCTGAATTAGTTTAGTAAAATTCTTTGTTATTTATACACCTATGACCTATGTATAGATTTACATTGAAGCATGATGTGAGTGCTGTTATAATTAGAAAATATGCTAAGTACTTTTCCATAATCTCTTAGTCACTAGTTTCTTATATGTGAAAAGTTAGTTTAGCTAATTACAATATCATAACTATAACACCCCATTTTAAAGTTTTCTGCAAGTTTATATCATCGCATATACAATTAAGATTACAAAGATTCTCTTTGTTTTTTGTTTAGAGAGAGCTATTTTAGTAACACATGCCTTTATTATCTTGCCTTTTCTTACAGCAACTTTTAAGTCCTTTAAGGTACTATGTTTTTGAATCAGTACATATGTTTTAACACCACGCAGCACTATATTCTCATTTTAAGTAATACGAGTTTTGCCTGTGTATACTTCTAGTTCTCTGGAAAATCGTTTGCCGAGAGCTTCAAAACGCATAAATTATTATTTTCGATAACGACGCATAAATTGCTATTTGTGCACTTGTTTAGGAGTACCACATACATGAATGAGGGACAGGACAGATCCACGACTATCAATTTTAGTTCAACCCCCCTAAGAGTCGGTTCACTTGCTAATATAAAATGATAAAGAAAAAGAAAGAAAACAAGAAAGGAAATGGCTTTTACTGAGGCAATTAGGGGTATACAAATGAAACCGACAAACCGCAACAACCCGATAATCCGAGTCAAATCGAGAAAAAAAAATCCGACCATGGTTTGGTTTGATTTGGTTTGGTATTGGAAATAAAACCCCGACCATATTTGGTTTGATTTGATTTTAAATAAAAAAAGTCAAACCGAAACCAAACCAACTCGACATTACATGTATAGAAGTTTTGAATATATTTAATACATAAAAATATTTATTATAGTGTAGTTTATAAATATTTCTTAAGCTTTTTCATAGTTTTATCTTTTAACGTATTATTTCAAGCTTGGGCTTATAATTTTTGGATGCTCCAATAAGTTTTATAGTCCATAAATGTTAGTAACTCAAATTATAAATCCTATACCAGAATCAAATCAATACTAATGCTAATAAAAGACATTCAATTGTACTATAAATTGAAATATTATTGGATATCTATTTTTTAGTTTTTACATGGTTTAGATAACATGTACTATAACTTATTTTTCTTTTAGTGGTTAGTCATGTAAATAATAGTACTTATTAGTCGTAATTTTAAATTATGTTTGTTTTCATTATGGCTTATTAATAATATTTATTTTATGCGATTTTATTATCTTTATTGTTGAATATTTCAGTACAATGCCATGACTCATCTCATGTTTATGTTATTTTATTGAAAAACACCTTATATAGTTATGTCTTGCTAGGATTAAAGAAATATTTGGAGCACAAATTTTACATTTTGTGCTATGAAGACTTTATGGGGGGAAAAACCCGAAAATCCGAAAAATCCGAGAAAAACCGAGATTAAAAAATCCGACTTTTATTGGCTTGGTTTGGTATTTAGATTTAATAACCTGATACAATTGGTTTGGTTTGGTAATTAGAAAATCCGAACCAACCCGACCTATATACACCCACATATGCAATCTTCCAAAATTGCTAAGCTCCAAAATGTGCTTTTTCTATTTTCCTTCCTATATTACTTGGTTGACACTTTCGCTAAAGAATAGCTTAAAAAACATAATGAAATAATTTAAAATGAGCTTTAACACGTGAGTGAAAAGTTTTCAAAAAGCTATAATAATAAATATGACAAAATAGGAGCAAATCTCACAGCATTAAAGAAATGATGCAGCGCAGCTTATTAACTTATTTAATTCTTCTGCAGAGATCATCCGTTATCCTGGGTGTACAAAGGAAACTGATAAATCGATAATCCGAATCAAACCGAGAAAAAAACTCGATTGTGGTTTGATTTGACTTGGTATTGGAAAAAAAAAATCCGATCATAATTAGTTTGGTTTGGTTTTAATTTAAAAAAAAAATCAAACTGAATCAAACCAACCCGATATTACATGTATAGAAGTATTAAATATATCTAATACATAAAAATATTTATTATTGTGTAATTTATAAATATTTCTTAAACATTTTCATAATTTTATCTTTTAACGTATTATTTTAAACTTGGACTTATAATTCTTGAATGCTACAATAAGTTTTATAGTCAATATTAATGCTAATAAAATACATTCAATTAAATTGTTCTAGGAATGACAATAGTGTTGGATATCTATTTTTTTTTTAGTTTTTCCTTGATTTAGATAAAATACACAACTTTTTTTTATAGTGTTTAGTCATGTAAAAATAATACTTGTTAGTCGTACTTATTTTAGCAACTTAGTAACTTTAGATTATCTTTATTTTCACTATGGTATATTAATATTATTTATTTTATGCAATTTTATTATCTTTATTGTTGAAAACCTTAGTACAATACCATAGCACACCTCAAATTTTATGTTATTTTCTTGAAAAACACCTTATATGGTTATGCCTTAATAGGATCAAGAAAATATTTGGAGCACAAATTCTATATTTTGTTAGAGCCGTCAATATGGGCTTGGCCCGTTGGGCCAGCCCAGCCCAGCCCAGTCCGTGATTTAACAGGGCTGGGCTAGAATTTTTGGAGCCTTTTTAAAAACGAGGCTTTTAAGCCCGGCCCGAGTAAGCCCGTGGCCCGTGAGGCTTGACTGAGGCTGGGCTGGGCCGGCCCGTGGGCCTAGTAAAATATTTATTTAAAATATATAAAAAATAAAAAGTATACTGCCTTTAGAGATGGAAGGTCAGAATTGGATCTTTTCTAAGAGGAACCAAAACTTGATCTTGAGAAGTTTCAAGAGATGGATGTTGTCATGTATTGGAAGGACCATACCATTCTAGAAAATATCCCGATCTTTCCATGATGGTGCGTGATGTACTTAGTATTCTTATTACCATTGTAGCATCGGAATCAACATTTAGCATTTGTGGCGTGTTCTTACAAAGTACAGAAGTTGCATTTAATATGAAAATGTCCAAACACTTGTTACTACTCGAAATTGGCTGCACAGGTTTTCCCAAACTCAAACTGGTAATATTTTTTTATGTAAATTTAAATATTATTAATTTTTAAAATTTAATTATTTTTAATATTTAACTAATTAATATTGCATATGAATTGTAGATCGAAGTGAAGATGTTAAGATAATCTTGTCACAAGCGGATTCAAATGTGTTTGATGAAGGTGATGTGTTGGATATCTCATAAGCATCATGAACGTGCTCTTGAATAGTTTGTTTTATGTTTTGACTTTTAGTGAATGAAATATAATCTTGTCTTTTACTTTTTTTAGTATTTATTGTGATATATTGGAATAATATAAAAAGTTATTAAGTTTTGCGAATTTTTTCCAATAAGATATTTTTTAACTTTTAAATAATTATCTTTTTTTTAGTCAGAACTTAAAGAAAAAATATAAAATTATATTTTTAAAAATGATGGGCCGGCCCATGGGGGCCCGCGGCCCACATAGGACTGGGGTGGGCTGACCATTATAGGGCCCATCAAAATGGTGGGCTAGCCCAACCCAGCCCGTCAATAGCTAAAGCCCACGTGGGTTGGGCTGGGCTAGCCCGGCCCATATTGACAGCTCTATATTTTGTGCTGTGAAGACTTTATGAAAAAGAATAATCCGAAATAAATCGAAAACCCCAAAAACCCGAGAAAAACCAAGATTAAAAACCCCGAATTTATTGGTTTGGTTTGACCTTTAGATTTAATAACCCGACACAATTGATTTGGTTTGATAATTGAAAAACCCGAACCTATGTACACCCCTACTCTAAAATGTAAAATCATTATGGTCTGGCAAATTCTTTTTCCAGGTATACTGAAGTACCGAGCAAATATTGCCTAGTAGACCAAGCAACGGAATGTATTTCTAATGCAATAGAAGCATAGAATGAGAAGTAAATAAAAAAAGATGTATATATTCCTCTTTCGGTTTTGAAAACCAAAGACAGTTAGCTGCAAGACCTCCACATACTATAATTTTGAGGTTGAAAAAACTAATTTCTTTTTAATATCACAGGTGAAAATGTAGTCTCGTCATACATCACAAATACCAGTCATACCTCAACAATGATTGATTCTGTCGCAACTTTATCCAGTCAATCCGGTCCCGAAGCACATGTAAAAATTGACAATACACGGAACAGCAGCGACAACTTCCTATGAGGGAAATCCAATCTTTTCGTCAGTGAAAGACAAGTAGCGGCATTGTGTAAGACGAGGAATGCTGTTTGTGTGCTTGCTTTCCATAAATGGATCTGCTACACCATTACATGGCACAAAACTTAACCTGATTAACTTTGGTAAATCAATAGAAAAAGTCTACACCCTTCCACAGCTCACAACCACCCTTTTTACCCCAATATGGCTTCCAGAGCTCGCTGTGTGGGAGCACCCGAAAATAAAAGAGGATCCCACATTTCAACATGAAGTACACACAACTGTACCACTGAATCGTTTCTGACACATCGAGAACAGACCCGGCCTTGGTAATTTTTTTGCAGATTTTTTTGCAATATCTGACCTATCCATGACTAAAAATCTGAATGATACAGACAAACTAAGCTTGAATGTGTTATAGGAGAACGGCAAAGAGGACATTCAGGCTTCTCATTGCACCACTCCATTATGCAGTTCCTACAAATAGTAGTCAAAACAAAAGTAAGGGCATTGTGTCATTTTCTTCTTCTTTCATAATCTCTCTTATTTAATTAATTAGTATTTCTGATGTCTTCACAACGTTGTTCCTTTTTTTTCTCTTTTTGGTTTTGGTTTTGCAGGGAATGAAAGGTCAATCAAAATAATGGGTAAAAAGAGAAACAGTCAGGAGTCGATACCAGCAAAACACATGACCACAAGGTGTGGCTGTTGGATCTTGGCGGCTGCTTAGGCAAAGCGTGCATTTGCTTGGATTGCTTCCTTGCGACTGAAACAACAAAAGAATAATTTGTTGGATTGTTGAAAAACGTAAGATTAAGCTAGCAATGATGAAAAGGGGACCTAGGTAGGGGTTGTGATTAATCATTTGTAATTCCATGTGCTTGAGTACCTTGTAATGGAGAACAAGGTATACAATAAATAGGAGAAACAAAAAAGATGATAAAGTCTAAGAAGGAGATGCTTGATGCATCTACTTTAAGTGCATATATATGTTTGTGTGTGTAATATAACCTTCTCCTTTAAACTTTGAACCCTAAACCTCTCAGCCTTAGTAAGTAATGATGAAGTTCAAAGTAATAATTGACATATCTGGTACGTCATATACAACATAAATATTTAATTTGTAGTTATCCTAAATTATATTGTTATTACCAAGATTGCCAAGTGCAGCATGAATTATTTTGTTCAAATATCTTATTAGAAGACAATGTCAAACATGCTTTTACTATTTTTGGTTCTTTCATCCTCGAACTCACTACTGTCCGTTTCAGTGGAAAGACAATACTAATCAATTCTATCAGTGTGAATAAATTTTTTATTTAAAAAAATTAAATAGAAGTTAATGTAATTTGACGTAATAAAGCTTAGGTATTTTAAAATTTGGTTTTAAATATTAGTTGGTTAATGACTAAGATATGAAGGCCAAATGCTTTGACTCATGGAACGGAGACTTCTAGAATATAGAATAGAACTAGGGGAAGGTTATGGTAACTTTGTAAATTAAACGTAAGGGTGCTTGAAGTCTGACAATTTAGAGTGGAACCCATTATAGAAGGCACAAAGTCAAAGTAATACTCGTATAACCTTCAACTACTCTCCAAGCAATTTTTGAACAGTGCAAAAGTGATGAAATTCGCTCTAGGTCAAATTTCCTAAATGAATTATGTAAAAAACTTAATTCTTGACAGTAAAACAAAATATACCTCTGAGGTTGATGTGGATTCAGCAACCAGCCCATACTTCTCAGTTTCAGCAGTAATTAGATTGCCTTCCTCATTTAAAACAGGTAAACCTCGGCCTAAAGGCACAAAGAGAAAAGGTTACAGCCAACAAGTGAAAAAGATGACTTACCATAGACCTGAAGAAAGGAGAAACTAACATAGAAAGGCTAAAATGTTAATTTACTAGTGCATATTTGCAGACCTACTAGAGATGCATAACTGCAAAGATACAAAAGTGAACTTGATGACCAAAACCAAAATTTGTAACTTTCTGGCGCATAATTACTCTTTCTGCCACGATCACATCTTCCAAATCATAGGAAACTCATTTTGCAATTAATCTCCTTCTCTCCTCTATTAGTGTTGAAGCCTTAGTGACACCCTTGGAGCAGGTGATGAATGTCCATAATGGGGACATCTATTCTTTCCCTTCACATAATAAATTATTTTGTATTTTGGAGTGATCAACATAAATAAACATTTAGCACCTGCTACTCGGAGAATGTCCTCACTTCTAAGACCAAGAGATTATGCAAAATGTTTCACCTGTGGAAGTCTGATAGGTTCCAAAGGGTGCTTGTTGAACAGAAGCTGAAATGGATGATAAACTACTACGCCTCAGACCTTCAGCAGCAAGAATACATAATTGAATTAGAAGGAAGACCCCTAGTATTTGATATCTGCACAACAAGAACATTTTGGGCACCCATTAATGTCCAACTGGCATCCTAATGAAGACAGGAGCCATAAATCACACTATTTTAAGAGATGAATAATTGACTATATGCCAGACAGAGAATCATCCACTACTTTGAAGTATGACATAGAAAATTACGCAAAATGGCCGGAAAAAGTTTTAAGTGGTACATGAAAGTGAAATATCTGACTACCCACATCCCAAAGCACATAAAGCGGCAGACACGTCCAATGTCAAATATTTTCGCAAAACGAAGCAGTCTTGCCTTGTGAAGAACAGTACTCTCAATTTTTCCTTTAAAAATCAAGGAAAGCATAAAAAAGAAACACAGGTACCTGGCAGAAACTAATAAGCAATGACACAAAAATATTGTCCCAAGGTATACAAGAAGGAATGTCAACATAGTCAAATGAAAGAACCATTTATGTGCAAATTTGTCCTTCACAAAAAGATAAGCATGGAAAAATTATATAGCCAGAAATATACCAAATTTGGCCAGAAGGAAAACTCACTTTCAAAGAGCAGATGCTAATGATGCAAAGAGTTACAGACAATAGACTTCATACGACTGTTTCTGCAACAGAAGATGGAAGCAATTTTACCTAGGTCGTTGGTTCATAGGTTTGCCAATGAACACATAGCGAATGCCCGCAGCACGTTTTGATATATGATAATAAAATCCTGCCGTAAAAAGAAGTTAAATGACTCTCAGCATGTGTTTCAGAAACTAGCAGCACTTAAGTTTATTGAGTGGCAAATAAAGTTACCTTCAAAATAGAAGAACATGAGATTGGTCCGGATAACCAATTGCAACACCTCACGGGCAAGAGGAAGCACCTACAAGAATCAGCAAGGATGTATGTTGCTTTAACAAAAATTGGAAGTACTTCCCAATTATCTCTACATGTCAACTCTGTCTTAGCCACTTTGGCAAGTTATATAAAGGAGTTGAACATGGCCCTGGCAGCCCCAAGGGTAGACCATCAGTAAATAGGGTTTTGTCGTGCTACAAAGCATTCTAATCAGGATGGAAGTAATTCTAAACCTTTGTCCTAAATAAATAGAATATCACAAACATTTGTTTGCAATAATACTACACAAGGCACCCCTGGCTTAATAATTGGCGAGTGCACAAGATCCAAAGAATTTATCACCATCCAACAGTCTGAAATGCTCCAGGAAATACAAAGTGCCATAGATGCTTCCTTAGGAGCAAGAGAATGTAATACAGTAATTTAAATTGCAAGAGAACTTAAGAAAACAGAGCATCCAACTCAGAAGAAATCCAGTTTAACTTGAGCAACTTTATCCATTGAGTTTGTGGATTACATATGTGACAGAGAATAGATATAAAAGTGAGAGAGAAACACTTCATTTCACACCCAGGCTTTGGCAATCTGACATAACAAAAAACTTAGGAAGAAGGGGGCATACCGAAGGCCACCTTCGAACTGCATACAACCAGAAACCCCTTATCTTGGCTTTTAATCTTGAAAGAGCTGAAATTGATGGAGTGGATGTTGAAGATGACTGTATCTCAACAGTCACTGATGCCTCAGTTTCGTTGCTTGAAGTACGAACGTCCCCAAATGTATAGTCGGCCATTGAATCAGCAAGGGTGATGCCACGGGAAGCTATTCTAGAACTGCAAAACACACAGAAAAAAACAACTAAATAAATAACAAGGCAATAAATATTGATATGGTATACAAAAATCACACACTAAAAAAATACTGTTTGAAGAAAAAGTAAGAGATGTGCATGTTTTCTATGAAGTCTGCTAGAAAATGCAGATGAACCTGACTCTTTCTGCAATGTATGGAACGGCTGACTGATAGAAAATAAAAAGAGCACGTCTTGCAGGTGTTGGGGAAAGCCCATATGGTCCTGCAACCTGTAATACCAAATCGTAATGAGAATATAGACACTTAATTGCACAGGAGAAAAGCAAAAATTTGCTGACGCAGTTTTGAAAATCAAATGATTAAATCGTATAATTTAAAACTTTGGACCTGTTTAGAACTCTATGTACACAACATTTTGGACCAAGACTTCTTATCAGAAAGAGAGAATCTAGACCAACACTTCTCAATGAATATAACTGCTAAAGGAACCAATTACATGTTAGCTAGAACATCATTTATACAATGTCTAAATGCATGCTTGCAAACATTACAATTATGCCAGGAAATATATCCACAAACACATTAATCAGGAGAGAATATTATTCTTTCCTCCCTATCAAAAAAGATACTCTTTGTTCCATTTTGTATGGCATTATTTCCTTATTAATCCGTTCCAAAAAGAGTGGCGCCTTTCTATATTTGAAAATAATTTAGCTCTAAATTTCATATTTTACCCTAAATGGCATGCTTTTATAACCACTAAAATGTCATGGCAGGTTTAGAACCACAAGTTTCAAGAAACTTTCTTTCTTTCTTAACTTCGTGCCGAGTCAAATTCCACACATAGAATTGGAGCGAAGGGAGTAGTAAAAATGAGTGAAGATAAAATCAAGACAAGAAGAGCAACACCAAATGGCTCAGGACACTTAGTCCCTAGGCAGAAAGGGCAAAACATAAACTCCCTGAACCTGAGTGATGTCACAGTATTCTTCTCCTAATGTTTGCTTCCCTGCACCCGTTGTCAGCATATAATAGAGCATTTGCCCCAAGAGTTTTGCCTGAAAAAAAAATAAAAGAAGGCACCAATTCTTGTATCAGGAAGTGATTGCTATCCTTGGGGTATATGTTCTATGAAAAAAAACTTAAAGAAATTAGAACTGTTATCCTTCACAAGTAAGATCCACAGGCTATCTTACATGTCTTTTTGGCTCCACAATTAAAAAGGAAAGGGTAAAAGGGGAGAGAAAGCTAGTACAATTAGTTTTGACGCTAGTTATGGTTGGAAGAGAAAAAAAGAAATATAACTCTTCTTACCTGACCAATTCTACAGCAAAGAGTTGAATTATGCATAGCCACTATTTGGGTAACATTCTCAGTCATCTTCATGATAAGCCCTCGAGATAAGCAAGTTGCTCTTGCACTGAAATCACATTGTTCTCTTGAAGCTAGATCATTCTAATCATTTTAACTTCTTCTAATCGACTCCTATCCAACATAAACGGAGTAAACAAAATTTTCAACCCACTATTACGTCATTTTTTGATTGCCGCCTATAGTTTTCTTTTATTTCTTTGATCTCCTAAGATTATGAGGATGCCATATGGAACTCTAAGCTCTAACCACCTGGGCTTACCCCAGCCAAAAGAGGACCAGAATGAAGAAAACATTGTGTGAAAGTTCACAGTAAAAGGTGAGGGTGAGTCTTGCTGAAAAACTCCCAGTGGCAGTTTTCTGAAGGATTAAGCATTTTCCAAATTAAGTGAATACATACCTCAATTGGAATAAAATTCATTCTGACTAGTAATTCAACTCCGATACAGCACTCGCCAAATGGATTTTGCAATGAAGTTCATTTTAATAAACAGAGTAATCAATCAGAGAAAACAAATCTCAAGTTACATACAGGGTCCCTTATCCACTATAACAATAACAAGAATTTAAAAAATTAAAATAGCTTCTTTTGTTTTACAACTCTTTAGAAACAAAAAATAAATCTTTTTTCTTTCCTTATTTCACACTGCACATACTCTAATGAAGTTAACAACTTGGGACGACACAGTATTAAAGCATCAAAAGGAAATGGGAATTACCTCATTCTGGTAAGCTACAGCGACTCTTGTACCTGAAAAAACAGGAACTTACAAATTTCAGAAAGATATACAGTTACGAAGTGAAGCTAACTAAGAAAAGGGGAGTAGTGAGAGAGACCGAAGAGGTGACGGAAAGCATCACGGCAAGCTTCATAGACAAAGGAGGCATACTGGTCATCTTTCTCGGCGGCTCTCATAATCTCCGGCTGTGCCGCCAGTGGGAACCTCTTCACGCTGCCGGAAGTGGAGGCGCCACCGCCGTCGCTACTGTTTCCGACATTGGATGAAATTCTAGCCGGTTCTTCCAATCCCATGATTCAGAATTCAGATAGGGTATTGCAAAGTGTTGCACATCGGTGTTCGGGAAGTGGTGCCGAAGCTGTAGACAAGTTTCTAATGTTTTCTTCTACCCCTCTAAACGACAGCGTTTTATCAGGGAGGCTTCACTACAACGGATTTCATGACTTTACAACGTCATCAAAGTATAGTGATATTTTCATGTCTCTCCCAATAGTTTTATGCAAATAAAATACCTCCCTAAGGTTTTTGAACGTCGCGATAACCTCCCAAATTTACCATCTGTGCCTAGGGGTGTTCACGGTTTGACGGAAAATCGATCCAAACCGAAAACCGAACCAAACCGATTAAGTAAACCGATATTTTTTTTTTATTTGGATTGGTTTTGGTTTTAAATTTTAAAAACCGATAATATTTGGTTTGGTTTTGATTCTATTTTAAAAAATCGAAAATAAACCGAACCAAACCGATTAATTATATACAAAATTTAATAATTATTTATATACAATATAATATCTTTTTGTTAATAATTTTAATTTTTATTTTGAATTTTGGTTTATTATATTATATCTTAAAAGATTGCTTAAGCCCAAAACAATAGGATTCGACCAATTTTCTTTTCATTAATAGACTCTAATTCTCTAACCCTTCGCACATACTTTTGCCTAAAAGAAGGTAAAAAAAACCACCACAAGAGTAAAGAAAGCACATTCAAATTGCAAGACAACAATGGCTAAAGCTTTAGAAAGCAACCTTATAGTTTGTTTTTTGTTCATTCTTTTCATATAAACATGTAAATAAACTTTCAGTTCTCAAAGAAATATATAAAAAGCATAAATTTGGCAAATTATTTTCAGATTGTTGTCTAGCGTTGTTTTAATATTATCGACTTATCATTAGCTTACTAAGAACCGAAAAACCGAACCAAACCGACCAAACCAACAACAATCAAACCGATGGTTTGTATTTAATTTGGTTTGGTTTTGGTTTTAAAATTTTAAAACCCGATTAAATTGGTTTGGTTTTGGTTTTAATAAAAAACCGACCAAACCGAACCGTGAACACCCCTATCTGTGCCCAATTATTTGCTTTGGTAGATTAAATTCTCGTTTTCCTACATTTCTTAACTACTAACTTTATTGTACGCGTTTTGCGCATGTACCTATTTCAATAAATATGAAACTATAATAGATTATTTAAATATTATAAAAATATTCATAACATGATGTGTTATTACTAAGTGTCATTTCACATGTAATTTTAGATTTAATGTTGAGTTAAAGAATATAATAAATATGGATATTGAGATAATTAACTTATATAACATAATTAATTTTACTTCTAGGAGTAGCTGTAAATCATAGTTAAGAATTAAGAAAATCGAAAAAGTGCCGACCGACGCATCGACTTTTTTTTTTCCAACAATGCCCATCATATTGATGGAGGAGTTAGGCATGACTTTAGTTATATTTTCATATTTAAGCCTTTCTTACTTTTTCTTTTTACTAAGATAATTAAATTATTGGTATAGTTCTCCTATTCTCTGTGGATTTTTCATTTTTTATATAACTTGTCTTCTGCAAAATTGTTATTGTTACATATCTCAAATAAGGAAAAGATATACAAAATATTTAATAGTAAGACTTCCTATATAGTTTAATAAATACAAATCAACAAACGTTTTAAAAACAAAAAAAAAAAAAAAGGTGTTATTCCTGAAAAAATGAATATTTATCCTATTTAGCTAGCTTGATAAATGAAGAAATCCTCAAGATCCAACTATGAATAAAATCAAATAATAAAGTTTTAAATTAATTACAATTACAAATTTATCTAAAATCAAATTCACTTAGGAAAGGTAAAAAAATCATAAACATTACGTGTTGAAAGTTAGTGTTTTACAATAGCGAGGTAGGTTGTGCATATATAAATTTGAGTTTAAGTGTCATTAATAAAATAATTTATAAATCATAATTAAAATAAAAATCTTTCGGAGATTTGATATAAAATCTAATTTAGTTTTAATATTTCTTTTGTAGTATGTGTATTGAGTATATGTTTATAAGGTTCTGAAACTCTATTTTAAAGGGTATAAAAGGCGAACGACATTTCGCTAAGGACATTACTCATATATGCAGTGGTAGAGTACATGCAAAATTAACATTTTTTTAGAATAATAGGAATATCCAATTTAAACTTTCAAAGCTCTTTTCTTGCTTTTTAACCTTTTTAAATCAACGGTTAAGATTTTTCAATTATATGAAAGCTCGTGCTCAATTACGAGGAACTACTCATATATTTGTGCTACAATGGAATGAGTGACGTTTCTAGAATACAACTCAACAGCCTAAATATTAGTTCCTCCAAATTTTAGAATAGTTTTAACAACACCCAATTCAAAGCCTTTTATTAAAGGTTTTTTAAAACTTGTTATTTGAAGGCCCTAAACAATAGGCCTTCTTATGTAATTCAAAGAAAAGTATTTAATATTAAAATTGTAGGATTTTAGAATCCTAAATATTAGGAAAATAAAATTACTATTTTTTCCAATACTACAAGAACAACAACATACCCAGTATTATCCACACCGTAGGGTCTGGGAAGGGTAGTGTGTACACAGACCTTATCCCTATCTTGTGAGGATAGAGAGGTTGTTTCCAATATTCCCTAGGCTCACGAAAGCATAAGCACCACATTAATGAAAATATAGACAAGAAGGGATAGTACCAAAAAGCCATATAAAAGCAGAATAAAAACAACAAAATAATCATGTGATCAACAATGAAAGAAAATAGTAGTTAGTCATAAAATCCTACTACCAACAAAAAGTGAGACTGTGTGCTAATACTACTGTTACGAACACTCTAGACTACCTACTTTACTACCCTAATCCTCGACCTCCATACCTTCCTATCAAGGGTCATGTCCTCGGTCAGCTGAAGTTGCGCCATATCTTGCCTAATCACCTCTCCCCATCTCTTCTTTGGCCTACCTCTATCTCTCCGTAGGCCCTCCAATGTCAACCTCTCACACCTCCTCACCGGGTCGTCTGTGCTCCTCCTCCTCATATGACCAAACCACCTAAGCCGCACTTCCCGCATCTTGTACTCAATAGGGGCCACTCCCACCTTATCGTGAATAACCTCATTTCTAATTCTATCTAACCTGGTGTGCCTACACATCCATCTCAACATCCTTATCTCTGCTACCTTTATCTTATGGACACGAGCGATCTTGACTGGCCAACACGCATCCCCATACAACATCGTTGGTCTGACTATCACTTTGTAAAACTTACCCTTAAGTTTCGATGACACATTCTTGTCATATAAAACACCGGAAGCGAGTCTCTATTTCATCCATCCAGCCCCAATACGATGTGTGATATCTTCATCAATCTCCCCACCCCCTTGAATAATAGACCCAAGGTACTTAAAACTTTCTCTCCTAGGGATGACCTACGAGTCCAGCCTTACCATCCATTCCTCTCCAAGAGTCTCGCCACTAAACTTACACTCCAAGCATTCTGTCTTGGTCCTGCTCAACTTGAAACCTTTAGATTCCAAGGTCTGCCTCCATACCTCTAATTGCGTGTTCACACCGTCTCGTGTCTCGTCAATTAATACAATATATCTACAAATAGCATGAACCAGGGCACCTCTCATTGGATGTGGCGTGTCAGTACGTCCATTGCCAGAGCAAACAAAAAAGGGTTGAGTGTCGACCCTTGATGCAACCCCATCATAACCGAAAAATGGTCCGAGTCCCCACCCACTGTCCTCACTCGGGTCTTTACTCCATCATACATGTCCTTAATCAACCTAACGTAGGCAACATGTACACCTCTAGCCTCCAAATATCTCCATAAAATCTCCCTCGGAACTTTATCGTACGCCTTTTCTGAGTCGATGAACACCATATGCAAGTCCTTCTTTCTCTCCCTATACAGCTCCATCAATCTCTTAACAAGGTCGATGGCTTCTGTAATCGAACGTCTCGGCATAAACCCAAACTGGTTCTCGAAAATAGACACACTCCTCCTTACCCTTAGCTCTACCACTCTCTCCCAGATTTTCATAGTATGGCTAAGCCGCTTGATACCCCAATAGTTATTACAATTTTATATATCACCCTTGTTCCTGTATATAGGAACCATCGCGCTCCACCTCCACTCTTCGGGCGGTTTCTTCGTTCTAAAAATGACATTAAATAACCTAATGAGCCACTCCAAGCTTGCCTTGCCCGCACTCTTCCAAAACTCCACCGGGATTTCATCCGGCTTGGTCGCTTTGCCCCTGCCCGAAGGGCGTATTGTAGGCGGATATCACCCTTGTTCTTGTATATAAGAACCACCGTGCTCCACCTCAACTCTTCGGTCGTCTTCTTCATTCTTAAAATGACATTAAATAACCTAGTTAGCCACTCCAAGCCTGCCTTGCCCGCACTCTTCCAAAACTCCATCGGGATTTCATCCGGCCCGGTCGCTTTGCCCCTGCTCATCTTACGAATAACCCCCTCAACTTCATCAATTCTAATCCACCTACAATACCCAAAGTCACAACGGCTCCTGGAGAGTTCCAAATCACCTAGTACATTAATGCTCATGTCCCCCTCCTTGTTTAAGAGACTATGGAAGTAGATCTGCCATCTCCGACGGATAAGCCCTCCATCCAAAAAAACTCTACC